GGTGTAACTGAGCAAAAACAGCAGACAGTGAAAAAACTCCAAAGGCTGGCTGTGAATAATCATATTGTAGAAAACGGCCCCGGTCCATAATTACGCAAGTAGAGTTCCCTTAAATAGGTAAATGATGTCGGTTGTCATCATCTTATTTGAAAGCTTGTTCCATTTTCGCCTGCCTGTTGGCTGAAGAAAAACCTTATACGGCCTAGCCACACGCGTTTTCTGTTCACTTTGGATGGATTACCGTATAATTGGTTTTTCGGACAAAAACAAAGAAGTCCTCCGGTCTCAGTGAGTATCCAAGGCCAGCGATAATCCAGAATATTCAGAACAGGAGTTTTGCTGACAGATCACGCATTCGGACACATTTAACATAACAGACCATCAGTCTGACCAAAGACTCCGTTTTTCAATGTTCCCCTGCCAGTTCTCGCCACCTATTACCATGTCTTGCCACATGCAACCAAAGGTGGCCATGGCGTTGCACGGCGTGGCATTATTGCGAGACTAAAATGTGGCATTCAACACGATCGAACCATCCGCCCACGTCATCCGAAAATCTGCACGAGGGGGCCTCTCGCTCTTTCAGTTTCATTCTTATGGCTTCAACTTCGCACCCGCAAGTGTTTATGCTGTGCGTTATCGTGGTATCCGTTTATTATCACATCTTATCCTGTGCCCTTAGGAGCGTCAACTGCAGCAATAAGCCGTCCCTGTCGGCGCCTGACCGAACACGTATCAGCTTGCACTTACAATCTTGCGTAAAAAGGACGTTGACTCCAATTTTAAAATTGAACGGTTATTATGCAGATGCACTTATATCTCTTTAGGAAAAATTAACAGACATGCAATCGTCAGTCAGGTGAATTTCTACAGTTTCCGAATCTAAGATGGTGAATAACTTTCACTGGACACTAGCAGAGAAAGAAATGTTGTAAGGCAATTATAATGAGTGATAAACTGTAGTTTATAATATTTAATAATGATAATATGGTTTATTGGTTAGGCACCTCTTGGGTACCGTCAGAACCCTTGGGAAACAGTAAAAATACCTAAAACAATCCCCCTTCTTTTGCATTAAATATTGGCTTTGTTTTAGTTTTATACTTAGTCAACATTATGCAAGATAGGTAGATTGTTCCAAGTGAAAAAGCCTGCCTACAAAAGTATATAGAAACGAACACCACCTAGTGTAACAAATAAATACATTAGGCTAATATGAGCGTTACTGTTATAATTTTACTTACGGCTGCCTTCAGCATGGATCTTTATGGGCATATATGATAATCGGTAACTGGAAACTGAATGCATGTGAACGATAATCTAAGGTCAACGCTGGTTCTTGATGGATGTTGCGACGACGTTTCCACCGATCTTCATACCGCTCCTTCGACACATGCAACCAGATAGTGGCCGTTCGTCATACTGTATAAATACCGCAGTTACTGAAACGGGTATTTTGTTCAGTGGAATTTGTGCGGGTCAGTATGTAGAATTTGGAGCAACCTTTGAGGATGGTTAATCAACAGGCAAGCAATTAATGTTGATTTGACCTTTGACCCTCCAGCCCAGCAGAGGATATAAAAGGCAGTAGGCCGGGTCATAAAGCTTCAGAGGAAGTCTGTTCCAGTTCGACCGTATACCACGGCTACTTACTTGCTCTGAATACAGTCAAATAAATATATATGCCATCTCAGCTGCAAACCCTTCTTCGATAATTAGCCGCTGAATGTAATGGTGACGGCCCTCATCGTGAGAATCGGAAATTTAGGAATGAAGACCTGACATTAACGAAGACTGTGCTCCTTTCCAGTGTTCCAACGGTTGCGGTGTTGTGCCGAAAAGCCCTTTCAGTATAGAAATGTAGGCCAATTCTATTTTCTTTCGTTCAATAGCACGCAAAAGTCTGAATAGAAAGGAGCAGTATTTAAGGCTAAGACTTGCATACATCTTATAAAGGCTGGTTCTAACATTGTCGCCTTTACATTTTCTGAGAATAAACCCGGTAGTTCGGCGGGCTTTCGAGACAATCAGGGTACAATGGAATCGACAGTTTTGCCCATGTTGCTGTTACTTTCAAGGCAAGGCGTTCTTCGGGAAAATAAGGTAAAGTATCCAACAAATTTTAAACGCTGCTTCTCCTGGTCGTCGTCAGGTCTGACGGATTAAAATAATTTGCGGAACCGTCTTGTAGGGTCGCCTAGATGTCTTTTCCTCCGCCCAATTCTCTTAGGTAATTGGCTATCAAACCTTTGACTCTTGGTTATGGGGTGTAAGTTAATATAAAATTGCGCTAGAGGTGATCAGCGGCTACACTATAGTCAGCTCCCCATAGCTGACGACGGCCAATAAAGCCAGAAATAGTTATCCTAGCGTGCCTGTCTTTGCCGGTAATACGTATAACGAAACGTATATTTGTTTCAGTGTACTAAATAAAATCTAATCCATCAACGTAAACTCCTTTTTTTCAGGCAAATGATGCAAACTGGGGGAAATTAAGCCTTATATTGACAGAATTTAACGAGAAAAGGGAAAGTCGGGTTACTGAAAATGTAAAAGTAGGTTATTGTTATAAGCGAAAGGGTAATAGTTAGCGATGTCTTTAAATTAAGTATGAACTAAGAAATAGGAAGTGAAAAAAACTACTCCGAAACAGGAAGCAGCGTTCAACAGGACTCCATTTTCAAAAAATATGTAGGAGAACAGAACTGCTTAGGAAAATAAGATAAATGGATAGTGTATGCTATACTACAATGGCAGTTTACAATGAAATAATGAATTGTATATATAATACGATTTCGCGAAAAAGCGTCAGTTGACGTGGGACCTCGACAGCTCAGGAGCCAGAAAAGAATTCGAGTGATGGTTAGAAGACAAAGAACGGGAG